GTGGGCGTTGTCCATTTGTGCTAGTAACTGATGGGGTAAGTACTCTCAGGGATGTAGAAAAAGCAAGATGATTTGATTGCATGACATAAACTGTGATCTTCAAACAATAATGCAAACACATTTTTTGATTGTCACTCTAGCATCTATATCCATTTTTCATTTTGTTTTGAATTCAAGAAGAGAAGACAGTGTTATTAATCAACTCCTCTAAAACCTGATAGGTCTTCTGGTCTGATACTTTAATTTTTTATCTATTTTATTCCATTTCTATATTTTTGTTCTATTTTCTAAGAATTTCCCTTTCAAACCTTTTATTTAATCTTTCCTTTATATCATATAGTTTTCTCTTTTTTTAGATTTATTTATTCATGAGAGACAGAGAGGCAGAGACACAGGCAGAGGGAGAACCAGGCAGAGGGAGAAGCAGGCTCCATGTAGGGAGCCCGATGTGGGACTCAATCCTGGGTCTCCAGTATCACATCCTGGGCTGAAGGCAGGCGCCAAACCGCCAAGCCACCCAGGCTGCCCTATCATATAGTTTTCAACCACTATTTCATGTTCTCTAAATAATGCCCCGGTTTCTAGTAATTCTGCTTGTATTTCAAGGTTATAGTATCTCCTTAATGTTTGAGGTTTTCTCCTTCCTGCATTGTCTCTTATATCTAAGTTCTTTTTTTTTTAAGCTCATTTTTTTTGGTCTCTCTATTATAGTTAAAAGCTTTTCTGAGATGTTTGGTCATTCTGGTCCACTCATATTTCAGGGTAAGACACAACAGGGCTGACTGGTAATTTTGTGAATACAAGGAGTTTGTTGATGGCAGCTTTCCCTGTAGTTTGGTCAAGTATGAATGCAGCTTTTCATTTTAAAAATCTTCATTTGAAAATGTAGGTTTTTTCCTGGACTGTTTCTCAAATCACAAATCCTCCTAATTCCTGTTTAAGTCGTCCTGGCATGGCTGCCAACATTCTGATAATTGAGAAAAGTTGAGAGTCTCACAAATTGGTGAGTGCTCTGTGATTGCCCCATTTTCATTCTGTCCTCTCCTGTGGGATCAGGTTTGCCTGGTGTCCCCAGGTGCATAGTGCCCCTAGATTACCTTCACAGAGGAGCAAACATGCTGCCTCCTGCAGTCACCTGGTAGCACTGAAGAAGTAGGGGACCTCAGGGTCTAACTGTTCTTAATATATCCCTCCTACAGTCCTCTCGTTTTCACTTCATGCCACAGCTATCACCTTCAAGGTCTGTGGTTCCTCCAATCCTACACCTTTCTCGGTTTCTCCCCTATGAGTCTACTTGCTTGTTGGCTCCTCCCATTGCTCTCAAGGTCTCTGCTTTCCCAGATCTTCCAAGACAACCATCACCCAAACACCTTTCCATCTTCCAAAATCCTGTTGACATTGCTTCTCTGTTGTCATCTCCCTTCTCAACCTCTTCTCCTTTGTGAGTTTTTACCTTTTAAAAAATTATTTTACTGCCACTGTGGTAGGTAGGGACAAATACCTTTGTTATGTGTGCCATGTTTAAGCTGAAATCCATATCTAATATGAGATTTTCTTTAGTAGCAGTCACCTTCATGATACCATCACCTTCTTGATTCCCGCCTATGAATGATTTCTCCCACCTCTAAATTCTCTTCACCCTTTACCTGTACATCTAGGATGGCTGTTAGCACATTTTTAGTTATTCTTACTTATTTATGCGCATGTAGAGAGATACTGGTGTATGATATCCTTGGAATGAAGGATAGATCTGGTTAGTTTTCCTGCCCTTCAGTGCCTAATATTATGCCCTATGCTTGGTAGGCATAAAAGTAATGTTAATTCAATGAGTGAATGGATAAATAACTGTAAATGGATCAACCAAAATATTCTGATTTTAAAGAATTTTTTTTTAATTTTTATTTATTTATGATAGTCACACAGAATGAGAGAGAGAGGCAGAGACATAGGCAGAGGGAGAGGGAGAAGCAGGCTCCATGCACCGGGAGCCTGACGTGGGATTCGATCCCGGGTCTCCAGGATCGCGCCCTGGGCCAAAGGCAGGCGCCAAACCGCTGCGCCACTCAGGGATCCCCAATATTCTGATTTTAAATATTAAGGCTATATGCTATGTCTTGAGAATTGTGCATATGTTAATTTTCTCTTGTATACATTTCCTCTTATGAAATATCTTGCTTCCATGAATAGTTTATAAGGTCTTTAAAGGAAGAAGGGTTATTGCTGGATCAAATGGTAAGAGTATGTATGGTTTTGTAAGAAACTTGCAGGCTATCTTCCAAAGTGGCTGCACCATTTTGCATTCCCACCAGTCATGAATATGAGTTCGTATTGCACCACATCCTTCTCAAGATTTGGTGTCATTGTTCTGAATTTTGGCCATTCTAGTAGTCATGTAGTGGAATCTCATTGTTCTAATTGTATTTCCCTGATGACATACGTCTTAGCCCATTTGGGCTGCTGAAACAAAATGCCCAGGATTGGGTGGCTTATAACATTTTTCTCACAGTTCTGGAAGTTGGAAAGTCCAAGATTGGGGATCCCTGGTGGCTCAGAGGTTTAGCGCCTGCCTTTGGCCCAGGGTGCGACCCTGCAGTCCCAGGATCCAGTCCCACATCGGGTTCCTGGCATGGAGCCTGCTTCTCTCTCTCTCTCTCTCTCTCTCTCATGAATAAATAAATCTTTAAAAAAAAAAAAAAAGAAAGTCCAAGATCATGAGACAGGCATATTTGGTAAGGAACCACTTTTTGATGAGCAGATAGCACCTTCTAGCTGTAACCTCCCATGGTGAAAAGTACAAGGGGTCTCTGGGTTCTCTTTTTATTATTATTATTTTTTATTTATGATAGTCACAGAGAGAGAGAGAGAGAGAGAGAGAGAGAGACAGAGACATAGGCAGAGGGAGAAGCAGGCTCCATGCACCAGGAGCCCGACGTGGGACTTGATCCTGGGTCTCCAGGATCGTGCCCTGGGCCAAAGGCAGGCACCAAAAAGCTGTGCCACCCAGGGATCCCCTGGGTTCTCTTTTATAAGAGCACCAATCCCAGACATAAAGGCCCACCTTCATGACCTAAGGCCTCCCAAAGGCCCTGCCTCCTAACGCCATCTCATTGGGAATTAGGTTGTAACATATGAATTTGGTGAAGGGGGTGAATAAAATATTTAGTCTATAGCAACATATGATTTGGAACATCTTTACATTTGCTTATTTGCCACCTATATTTCTTCTTTGATGAGCTAAGGACTTTGGCCTGTTTTAAAATTGGGTTGTTGGGGGAGCCTGGGTGGCTCAGGTGGTTTTTTTTTTTTTCTTTTTTTTTGTAAATTTATTTATGATAGTCACAGAGAGAGAGAGGGGGGCAGAGACACAGGCAGAGGTAGAAGCGGGCTCCAAGCACCAGGAGCCCGATGTGGGACTCGATCCCGGGTCTCCAGGATCGCGCCCTGGGCCAAAGGCAGGCACCAAAAAGCTGTGCCACCCAGGGATCCCGGCTCAGGTGGTTTAGTGCTGCCTTCAGTCCAGGGCCTGGTCCTGGAGACCTGGGATCGAGTCCTACATCAGCCTCCCTGCTTGGAACCTGCTTCTCCCTCTTCCTCTCTTCTTGGGATGTCTAGGTGGCTCAGTGATTGAGAGTCTGCCTTTGGCTCAGGGTGTGATCCTGGGGTTCCAGGGTCAAGTCTCACATCAGGCTCTCCACGAGGAACCTGCTTCTCCCTCTGCCTATGTCTCTGCCTCTCTCTGTGTCTCTCATGAATAAATAATCAAAAAAATCTTAAAAAAAGAAACTTCTCTACTAAAAACATTCTCTACTGAAAGGATTTTCCAAATGTTACTTTATAATGTAACATTATATATAATTATTAAGATAATAATAATATATTATTATTATTGCAGCAAGAAAGGGTGGAGTGTGTTAATCTCATAATATGAAATTCAAAACTGGGTGAAGTTTAGGCAGGAAGGAGGGCAGGCAACGAGTTTGCAAGTGGCAGTGAGTATCAGGAGAAACATAGACTCCATCTCCAGGCTCACAAGATGAGTGATATAGGGAGAAAATCAACCACTTTAGAGGTCTACAAAGGAAACAAGGTCCTTGTGGAACATTCAGATTTTAGTGAAAGCAAGGAGATGATAGGTCCATTCAGAGAAGAGAGTGAGGCTGTATGTGATTACGCTGAAAGACAATTCCAGGGGGTACAAAGGAAAGATAATCTGCAGCTCTTTCTGCTAATGTTAAATTCTTCCTTTTTAGTAATCAAAAAAAAAAGAAAAAAATTATATTAATATAATTATTATATTCATTAATGTTATGATTTCTATCGGGAGTGTAACCTATCTCTCCGCCCCCCAAAATGTATATTTTTTTCTCAAAACTTCTGCTAACTTGGGTTTTTTTAATTATTTTTTTTAAGATTTATTTATTTATGATAGACAGAGAGAGAGAGAGAGAGAGAGAGGCAGAGACACAGGAGGAGGGAGAAGCAGGCTCCACGCCGGGAGCCCGACGTGGGACTCGATCCCGGGACTCCATGATCACGCCCCGGGTCAAAGGCAGGCGCTAAACCGCTGAGCCACCCAGGGATCCCCTAACTTGGGGTTTTTAAATCACTCATATCTTCCTTGATTTTGGCAGGTGTCTCCCATCAAAATTTAATGAAGCATATAAATGAAAGTTTCCCAGAGGATTTCATTCTTATGGACTTTGCCAAGTACCCTTGGTTGGGTCTTCGTCTCTTCTTTGCCTTTCTCATCTCCTACATGTGCACAATTGGAAAATATTGCTATTATTCTGGTTTCTCCACTAAATTCCCAACTTCAAAGTCCTATGTATTTCTTCCTCATGAGCCTCTCCTTTTTGGACCTCTGTTTCACCACCACAACTGTACCCCAAATGCTATTCAACTTGGTGGGCCCCAACAAGAACATTATTTATATAGGCTGTATGACCCACGCCTATATATTCCATTGGCTAGGCTGTACTGAATGTGTCCTGCTTGGAATCATGGCCTTAGACTGCTATGTGGCTGTGCTTAAGCCTCTGAGGTACTCTGTAGTCATGGACCACAAGCACTGCTGGCAGCTCTCCAGCACTGCCCGGCTCAATGGTCTGGCAAATTCACTGCTGCAGTCCATACTCATGGTCCAGCTGCCCCTCTGTGGGAACCAGGAGCTAGACCACTTCTTTTGTGAGCTGCCTGGGGTTATTAAGATGGTTTATGTGGACACCATAATCAACGAGGTTACTTTAGCTATGGTGGCCACCTTTCTGATAATGGGTCCCCTCTCCATGATTCTTGTCCCTTATAGTTGTATTGCCCAAGCCATATTTCGAATCCCCTCTGTTGATAAGAGACTTAAGGCCTTCGACACTTGTTCTTCACGTTTACTGGTGGTATCTTTATTTTATGGCCCTGGCATCTACATCTATATGCAGCTTTCAGGGGATAGCTTTCAAGACCTTACCAAAGTTCTAATGCTGTTTTACTGTGTTATTACTCCTATGGCCAACCCATTCATCTACCCCCTGAGGAGCAAGGATGTTAAAGAAGCTTTGAGGAGACTTCTCAGAAGAGCCTTTTAGTACAAAAGAATATGAGAAAATGATGCTTTATCCTGAATGGAAAAGCCCAACAATAATCTAAGATATGTCCTCTTTTAAATATGTTTCACCAAAATCATACTCAAAAGTCAAGTCAAGAAAGTTTTCATGAACTGTGCTTACCAAGTACGTTGGGGTTTTCCTACACCAGCCAATTCTCTGGCGCCAACTGGGTGGCCTACAATGCAATTCAATTCTCACACTACTCAGAGTTAGCAGAGACTCCACAATTCGAGAGCTCAGTCCCACAAAAGCAGCCTCCACCTTGGACGCCAATTGCAAGTCCAGACCACTTGTACTTGTGACCCAGCAGCTAATAAAATGTTCCTACAACCTCATCTTCAGATTTGATAATTGGCCAGAACAGTTCACAAAACTCAAGGAAACACTTTGCTTACTTTTACCAGTTTGTTACTAAAACATACAACCTAGGAGCAGCTGAGTGTAAGAGGTGCATATGGCAAGGTTTGGCAGGGAGGGATGGTGGGTGAAGTGTTCATTCACTCTCAGGGCATGATGCCTCACAGTACCTCATACCTGGAAGTTCTCCAAATGCCATTGTTTTGTTTGTTTGTTTGTTTGTTTGTTTGTTTGTTTTACAAAGGCTCCACTACATGTTTGATTAAATCATTGGCCATTGGTGATTGACTCAATCTCCAGCCTCCTCCACTCCCCAGAGTCAAGGGAGGGGGCCAAAAGTTCCAACCCTCCAATCCCGGTGTTTCCTGTGGCAATCAGTCCCTTCATCTGAAGCCACCTATGGGCCCACCAAGAGTCACCTTATTAGAATAAATTCAGGTATGGTTGGATTGGCTTGTTATGAATAACATAGGATGCTCCTATCACTCCATCACTTGGGAAATTCAAAGTTCTGTGTCAGGAACTGGGCACAAAGATCAAATACATATTTCTTATTCTCACACTTCGCTTATGAAAATAAACACCCTTGTTTAAAAAAACACAATTAGGGATCCCTGGGTGGCGCAGCGGTTTGGCGCCTGCCTTTGGCCCAGGGCGCGATCCTGGAGACCCAGGATCGAATCCCACATCGGGCTCCCGGTGCATGGAGCCTGCTTCTCCCTCTGCCTGTGTCTCTGCCTCTCTCTCTCTCTCTCTCTATCATAAATAAATAAAAATTAAAAAAAAAATAAAAAAAAACACAATTACAACATGCATTGTTAATTATAAAAAAATAAATGTAAATCAAAAAGTTGGTATGGTAAATACTTAATTTGGGTCTATTCTTCATACCATAAATTAAAACAAATTAAATTTAAATCAAAAGGTTAACATTATAAAAAGCTTTTCATTAAAAACAAAATACTTTACTGTCACAGTTGTAGAAGAGAATTGCACTTTTGACAATTGAATAAATAGAAAGACCAAACAAGATGAATAGAAATGATAAAGATGTGTGTAACACAATAAACACAAAACAACATAAAAAGTTGATAAATATACAGATATCTTAGGTATAGGAAACATAGGCATACCTTTATGTAACAAAACTTGGTCTTACAAACAAGTTTTTAAAAGTGCAGACGAGGTTGCAAAGTGACATGGACTTTTAACTCCTGCTAATACAAACTGGGAAATGTGACACACATATGAAGGAAAGTTGATGGATCTTAGAAAGTAATATTATTTATTTATTTAATCTTATTTATTTGTTTGACACAGAGAGAGAGAGAGAACACAAGCAGAGGGAATAGGAGAGGGAGAAGCAGACTCTCCGCTGAGCAGGGAGCCCAACTTGGGGCTCCATCACAGGACATGACCCAAGCCGAAGGCAGATGCTCAACTGACTGAGTCATCCAGGCACCCTAGAAAGTAATATTTTTTAAATGTGAGCAATACTTTAGAATATAGGAATTAGTTTTATCCCGTTATCTGGAGGGAATAAATAGCACCCTAGAGAAAGAGATCTGAGGGCCAAGGATCAAGGATAAGCTTGGGAAAACTTTCTCTCCCATGTGACATGAGGCCATCCTGGCCTTCATTTTGAAAAGCTATAATGACTGTTGCTCTTTGAAATATGAGATGTTACAGCCTTTTGGAAAGCAATCTGACAGCATCTTTCATTATTAAAAATATACTGGTGGTTCATTTTGTTAAGCATCTGATTCTTGCTTAATGCTCAGGTCATGATCTCTGGGATGTGGGATCCAGCCCCACATCTGGCTCCACTCAGCATGGAGCTCATTTGTCCCTCTCCATCTGCTTCTCCCCCCCTCCCCCCCACCCACACACACTCTCTTTCTCTCTCTCATAAATTAATTAATTAATTAATTTAAAAATCTTTAAAAAGATATATATATACACATATATATATATTCTTCCATCCAGGAATCTTACTGTGAAAACCTATCCCCTAGAAATAAAATCATATGTGTGCAGAAGAGATCATGTATAAGAATGTTGCAAAAAAAGAAATGCTGCAGACTTGTTCATTATAGCAAAAAATATATTTTAGTATGCTTATTGATAGTAAGTTAGCTATTAAAATAAATGCCTTGAGACCATTAAAAATAATGCTTAAGAACTATTCCAGATGATTTGCAAGGATCTACCTGGATGCCAGGGGTTCTTTACAGGTTAATCATTCAATACTCACGATAACTGTCTGATGAGTGTACTATTATTTTTACTTTACAGATAAGGAAAATAAGGCACACAGAGATTAAGTAACTGCATTCTGTAGGGGCCAAGGGCAGGCTGCCTCAAGACATGCTCCCTAAGCATAATGATTATTTTGAGTTAAAAAGCAATTGAAACCCAGGAGATTCAGGTAAAGCTCTTTACCTCCCCCACAACTGCCTAAACAGAATGTAGATAGAGGTCCTGCTCCAGGAAGGGAGGTGTCACCACGGATAACAACATTATGGTGTGAACTAGGTATGGTGGACAGGGAGGAACGTACCAAGGCCAGTTTCATCAAGGTCCTCTATGCCCCAGTATTTCTGAGTGGCTAAGAAAACATTTGTTTACCAAACGGTTACTCTTTTTCATCTTCCTGAGGATTGCATTCCTTCCCTGTGAGTCCCAGACCCCTACCAGGTTCTCCTTTGTTGACATTTATATCTTATTTTGCTTGACTGTCTTTGGAATTTCATGTCTGTGTGACTTCCCCAATTGTAGGCTATCAGATTTGATTTTCTATGGTTCATCTCTAAAAGAAATTTATTCAAACCCCACCTCCCTTCCTCCAGCCACCTTACAGACAAAACTTACAGGTGTCTACACTTGGCCCTACCTCATTGCTTTTCAAGTGCCCTACATCTTGGGAAAATCGACTCCACGTATACAAAACATTCTTCTCTAGTCTGACCACAACCCGCGTCCCAAGGAGCCCCTGACAGAGCCCCGAGAGGACCTGCCCCTCCCGCTCTACCTGGCCAAGAATGGACCCCCCTGTCCCACCTCCACCGGAGCTCCTGCAACCCTCTCACATCATTAAAACTCCGGGCCAGCCTAAAAGAACCGAGCCCGCAGCTCTGCGTATCTGGGCCCTCTCCTTCCCTGGAGAGAATCAAATCCGTCCTGCTCGTCGTTCCACTCCTGGTGCAAACCTCTGGCCCCAGGTCACCGGCCACCCCAACAGTCTCATCTGATTCTCAGTCCTCCAACAAGGGCCTCCAAGGCGACAGGGTATCCAGAGCACTAAGCGGGGTTTCCAAGTCGAGCTCGGACACCGAGCTATCCCACTGTAGGGTGCAGATGTGCCAGGCCGTGGGGTCCCGTGAGCAGGAAGGAAAGGCGGAGGAAGGGGCTCCGGAAGAACCACACACTCGGCGGGAGGGGGCGGTGCAGGCTCGGGGACCCGCAAGTGCAGAGAGGAAGATACAACCCCGGGGTGGGGGGCAGGGAGGAAAGCATCAGGAACTGCAGACCGAGCGGTCATTTCCGGAGCAGCCCCGCCTCGACCCGGGAGCGTGGGTTTTGGGGGTGGTAGTGTCCTGGGTGCGGGGAGCGGGGGGCAGGCATGTACCAGGCGGGGCGCTGCAGGGGGCCTGGGCCGCCAGAGGGGGACCCCGAGGGGCTGACATCTGGCGCGGCTCCGCTGTCCAGCGCGGGCGGGAAGCCAGGGACTCCGGGGAGACGCGTGGCTTTCTTGCGAGCCGGTGGGTCCCTGACACACAGAAAACTTTTCTCCAACCCTGGGGGTCAGAAATGATTTCGGAACCAGATTTGGAGGGATTGTTTGAAAAGCGTGGTGCTTATATGGTGTTTTAAACGCATAGCCCCTCAGGAGTCTAGGGCAGCCGCGTGTACAAACGTGTTAGTAGTTCTGTGACAGAACGTGATTCACACTAAGACTATGAGCCTACTGTCATTTCAGGACAAGTTTTGTTAATGAACTTATTACTTTGAGAATTGCCTTCTAGTAACTTAAAGAAAATGCTCTTGGTTTTCAGAGCGTTCAGGAAGTTCACAACTGTGGACCTATTAATGTTTTCACTGCTGTATTTGTCTAATCATTGATGGCTTACTATGTATCATGCACTGCTCTGGCACCACCTGTTTGTGTTCTGAACAGATAAAGCCCTGCCTGTGTATTGTGGGACTGAGGAGTAAACATACAACCTCCGGTGGTGGTGAATGATACAAAAAACATTGTAGTAGGATAAGAGAGTGATGGTGGGTGGAGAGCTATTTTACAGCATGATCTAGAAATGTCTCTTGGAGGAAATGCTTTTTGAGCATGCTGTAATCAAATGAGGGAATACCCCATGCAAATATCTGCATAAGAGCATCCCAAGCAGGTGTCAAGGCCCTCAAGTAGAACACATTTGACACGTCTAAAATTGAAGGGGATTTTACTGGGGTAGAGTGAGGACAGGAAAGACAAGAAGGAAAAAGATTACTCTTTAATTTCCAAAATAGTCATTTAAATTTTCATTACCAAGAGTGTCAAATCCTTAAATCATCTATGTTACTGTTAGCAAAATTTCAAAAACTTCTTCTGTTGTGTTTTTCTTAAA